AGACACTTTTCGCGCGCGGGAGCTATTTGGCGCCTCCAGCGGAGCTTTCTGGAAGCATCCGGCGCGTTAGGAGGAGCGCGGCTTCCGCGGCCCCGTCCGCCAGCCGGGGGGGCAGGGGGAGAAGCAGGCTCGATTAGCCAGAATAGAGCCGCTAAGCGCGGCAGCAGCGGCCTGCACCGGGAGACGTGAACGTCAAGGAATAAAGACAGAGACACGGCGGGAGAGTGCGCGCTGCTTCTCGCCGAAGCGTCTTCAGAAAGGTTTCTGTTCCCCCCCTCCCCGCATAGCGCAGTGGTATTGCCCTTCCCTATAAATAATGGCGGGCGAGGGGGGAGAGCTGCTGGGTGCATGGAGGGGAGTTGGTGTTTTCGGGTGTAGTGAGTGGTTAGCTGAGAGGTGGCCTTGTTGGGAGCGTTGTGCTCGGGAGAAAAGTTCCTCCTGAGGGGAAGAACAATAACTGATCAGGGACTCGGTTTCCTTCAGCGCGGGGTCCCGGGCGGGCTGTGGCAGGGAGGTCTTTGCCTGTGCCGCCTTTGAGCTGTACTGGGTGGGAAGAACTGCGGGCTTAAATGAAAACTGCTTCTCAAAAGCTGTAATAGTAACATTTCCCTAGGGTCTAGGAATCAACTAAAGGTATATAAGCTTTTCTTCCCTGATGTCCTGTCTCCCTGATGTAGTAGACTACTTTGTCTTAAGTGAGTACATAATAAAGCTGTTAAAGAAAATACTCTCTCTGTCTTTAGGTGAGATGTCCAAGGCACTAGCAAACAAAAGCCATGAAGCAGGCCCACAAGAGGATTGTGAGGGCAGCTCCAGAAGGAGCAGGTGGGGGCTGTTTGTCACTGCTGGTGTTGGTGGGGCCTTGGTGACACTCTATGCAGTGGTCACCCCCTTCGTGACCCCAGCTCTGAGGAAAGTATGCCTGCCCTTCGTTCCTGCAACTTCCGCTCAGATCCAGAATGTGCTGAAAATGTTAGAAAACAGAAGTGGCTCCCTAGTTGACATTGGTAGCGGGGATGGCCGTATTGTAAGTTATGGACATTGCCGTCCTTTTGTATCATCTCTCAAAGTGCCAAATGCTGCAGTTGTGGCTGCTGTTGTTTTCTTCTATTTATGAATGCCTTGTCTTTGGCATCTAGTGTTTTTATTTCAGTCTTATGAAAAGGCTTAAAGCTGAGAAAATTTTACATTTGGTTTAGGTGAGTAATTAATTATTTTTGCTCCAGTCTTACCTGCAGCTTGAAAAGGTAGTGGTACGAAACGATAATCTCATCCTGTTGGCTGGAGGGAATGGTGCTGCATTCATGTGAAGAGATGTGATTAAAGTATTGGTATTGTGATTCCTGAAGAGCTGTGATTCCACGTAGGGTTACAGCTGCAGTGTGTGAGTCTGTGAGATTAAATAGCACTGTGCTTTTGGAGCTTCATCTCTATGCTTATTGTATAAAAGTGACAGAAGAACAAGAGAATGAGAAATGAGTGATGGATGACAAAAAACCTGGTATTGTTAAAACTTTGAGCAGTGCTGGCTGCCCCTCTTCAAAATCAATGTGGTGAAACTAGAATAATTACCAAGAGAAATGATGAGAATCGCCATAGTGATACTGTGCTTCCAGGATGTTGTCTGAACCCCAATTTGTAAAATGTGGTGGTCAGGGTATAGTGGAGAATGGTGTGGGGTTTTTTGTGTAGTTGTGATGTTTCGTGTATCGTTTCATAACCATCTGCTTTAAGTCAGTTTTAGCATCGGGATGGTGCGCTAAATGTTTTTTTTTAATGGAAACAAGTAACTTCTTGAATGCTACTCTTGTCCATATTTCATGTGAATGAGTCAACCATTTGTCCACAAAAATCTGATTTGTAAATCTAAATCTGTGAAGGTGTTTTAGATGGAATTGTACCCAAGTAAGAAACAGAAATGCACGTAGCTATCGGAGAACTAGTTTCTTATGCTCTCTCTGCTCAGCATTCTGGCTGTTGACCCTCATCTGAGGGATCTAATTTGACTAGGTACTGCATGTTTAATTCTGAATTTATTGTATGTGCCTAAATGGAGACTGAAGACTACTTGCAGAGCCTAAAACTGAATGCTTGATGTTGCCTTAATGCATCTGTCCTGAAAAAAGTTGTGTTCAGATGTTTTTAAATATTTAGCACTTAGGTGTAATTAGTGGAGAAATTTCACCATATTTTTATTTCCAAGCATGGTACAAATGCCGAATTCTTTTAGTATATTTGCAAATGCTGTGTGCATGATGGAAGATGCATTGTTTTAACAGTGTGAAATGTATTGTCCAGGTAATTCTGTTTGAGAAGTTGTATGAAGAAATGTGTACTACTTCCTGATTTCACCTTGCCTGTTCTGTAATTCATAGTTTGTCAGTCTTTTCCTTGTTAAAACTTGACAGTAACCTTTTAAATTATGATTTAAACCTTAATTCTAGAAACGGATGCCTTTTGTATTTTCCTTATTTTTTTTTTTCTTTTTCTAAAAAATCAGTTGTCTTTGATCTTGTTTGAAGACACTTGCAATACAATTTAACAATTCCAAATCTTAGCATCTAATTTAGAGGAATGTATTTGAAAATCTGTAATTGGAGTTACCTTTTATCTTTTAAAAGGATACATGAAGTTTAGGATTGGATGAAAGCTCTACTGTGACATTTATATGTAGGGTTTTAAAATTTTGTTTTAACCTACATTTCAATGTTTGTCCTACATTTTAAAAAAAATCATTACTACATTTAAAAATTGACTTTCATGCTCTTTCTATTGGTAGGTCATTTTGACTCTGATTCAGGGGTCTCTCAAGTGCCTACCCATCACTGCTTTTCAAATAAGTTAAGTGGTCTAAATTTGAACCCGTCTGCTTGTGTATTTCACTGTTCTATCCATGGTCAGTTTTGTTACTCTCTTAATTCCAAGGTAGCATCATGAATATGTTCAGTGAAACTTTATGTAAATCATAGACCTACTACAAGCTTACAACTTTGCCCTGTGCATGTTTAAGTGGTTCATTTTGTTCATCTGAATATACCTATTCATTTCAGTGGGTCTAGTCATAATAGTAAAATACAGTTTGAGTTTTTGTCCACTATACTACTAATCTGTTGGAGATTAAAACCTGAGTGATTTACAGAAGTGCATTCCTTTGATTTATATTGTAAATAAAACTATGTGCTCCTGTTTAGATGAAAGAGCTTTCTCTGTTTCTAAGTGAAGATTTATTTTCCTCCTTGTAGGTGATAGCAGCTGCAAAAAGAGGATTCAAAGCTGTTGGTTATGAGTTAAATCCCTGGCTAGTCTGGTACTCCAGATACCGTGCCTGGAGAGATGGGGTGCATAAGAACACCAGATTTTATATTTCAGATTTATGGAAGGTAGGTGGTGAAATATATAAGAATGAATCTGGGATGTCTGAGAGATTTTCATAATTTGGAATTCCTTGAGGAACCAGAATGCTGACTGGCCACAGATTCTGTGGGCTTTGAGAAGAATGCCTTGAGCCCACAGAAACTAGACTCAGCAATACACTGCTCTGCTGGTTTTGTGTTTTGGTGAAGTGCTGTCCTTTTGAAGTACGGGCTCCCCAAGCATATGATGTTATGCTTGTACCTGATGAATGATGTGGGGTGCTGTGATGTCAGGCTTCACTGAGAGCTGATTCTGTGGAGTCGGTAAGAAGACTCTTAGTAACATAATGTGCCAGATCACAATCTCATCCGACATTTCATTACACGTATTCTTTTCTAGCTGTGCAGTGTGTTACCTGGTTTTGAGTGCTGCTTTATGGAAACTTACATACACGTGACTGAGATTTTTTTTTTCAAAATTTTCAATCATTTGAGTCATAATTGCTTCTTTAACGAGGTGTGGTTTTTTTGGATCATATTTATGTGGGTCTCTCCCCTGCTATTCCTGTCAAAGTTGTGTGGTTTGTTTGTTTTTGGCTTTTTTGTTTGGTTTTTTTGGTTGCTGTTGGTAGTTTTGTTTGTTTGTTTTAAGAATGGATTTTAGTAAATGGGTAAAGTGGATACCAGGAATTATAGGAAAAAGTATGAATATACTGTTTTTATTCTTATGCAGAGAGGAGCATAGGAAAACTTAATGGCACTGACTGGAATGCCTGGCAAGTTTTTATAGCTAGCTAGTGTTTAACAAAAGTGAGGGCAAACTTAAAACATATGTTATTCTAACATATACAGGAGTTGTCAAAAAACTTAGCTATGAGTAAAATCATGTAGGTATTTTCTAAATTAGTACTTTCTGTGCTACTAGAATTGGTGCCATATCCTTGGCCAGGCAGTAGAAATTTCTTGCTGTTCAGCAATATAAAGTTGTCTTATGTGGAAATTTGTGTGATGAAAAGCTGATATGGGATCTCCTTTTTTATTTTTGGTCTAAATACCTCTTCAAAGGGGTGTAGCTAAAAGGATTAGGGAAAGTAATGATGAGAACTTCTCTAAATGTAAATGCCGTTTTCCTTAAGATGTGTTCTCAAATTTTATTTTAGGTTTCTTTTTCCCATTATACAAATGTTGTTGTTTTTGGGGTACCTCAAATGGTAAGTTTACTATTTTTGCATTGTTTAATTATTTTATGCTAAGGCATTCAGTGTTAGTACATGCATCTGTAAAGTGAACCAACCTACAGAATGTCAAAGGTAGCTAGTACTAATGTTTGATATTTTATTGCTGCTTATTAATGTCCATGAGAAAACCTGGTAAGACTTGTGACAGTATGCAGTCTGGAACTCTGAAAATATACATGTTTTTTTTTTGAGAAGTATTTTCTGTCTGTTAGTTCAGAACCAAAATGAAAACTGCTGTGCTCAAGCTGCTTGTGGGAAAGGTGATAGACTGGTTCTTGAAAATACCAGTTTTTCATACTGAAAAAATGAAGAGCTTGCAGGGAGAAGATGGAGTAGAAATTGGCTACAGGTGATTTTTGGGAACCTTGTTAGGGGAGACTATTGAACTTTGCTTATGTTCTTCTCCAAAAACGAGATTACCTCAAATAGGCCAGCAGCTGGTATAATGAAAGATTTAAATATATGGTATATTGCCCATGTTAGACTGTAAGGGTTTAGGAAGGGAGACAAATTGCTTCAGGTATAATTGCTAGAGTACAAGTCCACAGATTCTTTGCCTTTTAGGAAGGGTTTGTAGCCTGCGTTCATCGTGACCCTGGGGAAAACATGTTCTTCAAAACTGGTGTAGAAATTGAGTTGCATAGTGACTACTTTAGTGATATGTTTAATAGATTCAGTCAGACTTTGCATTCACTTTGGCTTTCAACTTGTTCTGTTTTTCTTTTTTACTATAAAGAGAAAATTGTTATTTGAAATATATATGAAAATTTGTTATTAGAATTTTCTATATAGATTGAACGCATATGGAGGAGTGAAACAGAAATATCTATAAATGCTTCTGTATTGCTTCTTCCTCTGCTAAGGGAGATTAGGGATGGAATGAGCGAAGAGCTTTATTTCATGCTATACCATACAACATACACTGATAATATTTCTGTAGTTGTAATAGGAAGATGCAACAAGAAGCATAATCAAGGTTCCCTGTTTTCTACTTTTTCTTTAATGGCACTGGAATTAAATACCTACTTCAGATTCAAGTTGTAAGTCATGTTTGAAAGTGAAGTGAAAATGCATGTTTTTTTTTCCCCCTACTTTTGTGGGTTGCGTATTAGTGAGAGTTGAGGTGTTGACTTGTGCTACAGATGTTGCCAGGTTTGGATGTTATGTGCTCTCTACCTTGAGTTCCGGGAGGGGGCAGTATAAATATTTGAATTTGCAGTCAGAAATTCTGCAGTTGCACTGAGGGGAAAAGTGCAGGTGAAAAAAGATATTTCAGTAAACTAGAAATAAACAAATGCCCTGGGAAAATGTGAGTAAACCTAGCAGAAATACTGGCTTAACTTTAATAGTATAAAGTGGGATAAATTAGTAACAGCTGTGATAGAAAGAGTAGCTGTAGGGCTTAGAATAACTTCAGTAAATACTAGGCTAAATTCTTCCAAGAAAAATACTGTCATAAATGTAACAGATCTGAACATGTGAATTACTGTGTTTCCCGACCATTCGTTTGCTCACGATACCCTTTAAATTTACTTCGGAAGTTGTGAGTGCTTAGCTTCCTGAATGACTAAATTGATTTTCTAGAAACTTTAATGCATTTTCTCTTTTTTATTTAGGGCAATAGATCTCTTCAGCTTTTTTTAATAATACTGGTCTGATCTGATGCTGTCACACAGTGTTTTTATTTCATATCCAAGATTAGTTACAGAACTTGGATTTATTGATCTTCAGGGTAGAGTAAGAGCTCAGTTCTTGCAAGCATCTGGGGGAAGGTGTGTTTATCATGAGTCATTATATAGAGGCTTTTACTTGTTCAAGGTGGGATGACAGAATTCTTCCCAGGTGTTCATTTTTTCAGCTTCTGTGTATTTTAACTGATAATATACTGCTAAAAAGTTTTATTAAACTGCGTATTTGTATAGACATACCAGAGAAACCAAGCCCTGTCTTGATATGAAATACAATGTAACACCTAATGTTACTGAGAGATTTCGCTTAAAAACTACTTTGACTGTTTGGTTCAAGGATACAGTTCTTTCTGGCTGAACCATTAATGAAGTTTTCTAATTTGAGCTCATATAGACATGAGATTTTCATAATTAGAAATACAGACATAGCCTAATTTTTAATGAGTCATTTCAGTAACAAGTTAGTCCTTCCTCTCTGGTGTCTCAGCTCAGTTTGAGATACCAAAGTGGGCTTATTTTTCTAGTTTATTTAAGGTGCAGTAGCAAAAATGTTTAAAGCATTTGTTGTATGGATTAAATCAGAGCATAGAATGCTTAAAAATATTCAGAGATAACTCTCTGATATTTTGGATCCATGACACTAATTTTCCTAAAATATTCCATTGTAAGCTTAAATGTAGCCTTAATAGGATGTTACATCAAAGGCACACCCTGAATGTATGTGATAGTGGAAGCTATCTGCAGCCTTTGGAAAGAAATTTTCTTCAGTCAGTCTTGTTTTTTTCATAATGTTCTGCTGTGTTTTTTTCCTTTTTTTTTGTGATGTTTTTTTAATACATCTTTTGTTCTTCCTGACTTAAATTGAGCTGTATTTGTAAATAATTGCTGTCCTTTTAACCTTTTAATATCTAAATGTTATGTCATGATGTCAATGTAAATGGATTTTGACATGTAATAGAGGTAACCTGTGGAGCTTGCTGTTATAATTACTTTCTGAGATAGGTACAGTATGAAAGAATAAAAGGAATTTCAAATGGATGTGTGCTGATCTGCTTAAGCATAGCATCAAGCTTTTTCAAAGGGCAAAAATGGCTAAGTCTGTCAAGTGTAATTTTTTTTTTTCAGAACATAACCACTATCTGGGATGGAAAAATTTTTTCTTTGAAGTCTAGATGTGTTAATTCATTCCTCACTTAATCCATAGCAGAATTTGCAAAGTACTTATTGGAGCTAGAGTATCAAACTGGGCAGGGTGTTGCTCTGTTCTGGAAGAGTATGGCTATATCTCTCAACTTCCATATCTGCTCAGTTTTTGCAAATGGAGGAAAACTAGGCTGCAGGTCTTCAACCAAGGAGAGTTGCATAGTGGTATTTGATGTGGTCCCTCACAACATACTTCTCTATAAATTGGAGAGATATGGATTTGATGGATGGACTGTTCAGTGGATAAGGAACTGTCTGGATGGTTGCATCCAGAGAGTGATGGTCAACAGCTCAGTGTCCAGATGGAGATCAGTAATGAATGGTGTCCCTCAGGGACCAATATTAGTACTGCTTAATGTCTTAATCAGTGACATAGACAGTGGGATTGAGTGCATCCTCAGCAGATTTGCAGAGGACACCAAGCTGTGTGATGTGGTTGACAAACCCCAGGTATGGGATGCCATCCAGAGGTATCTGGACAAGTTTAAGACATGGGCCCATGTGAATTTCATGAGGTTCAACCAGTCCAAGGGCAAGGTCCTGCACCTGGGTCAGGGTAACCCCCAGTATCAATACAGGCTGGGAGATGAAGGGAGTGAGAGCAGCCCTGATGAGAAGGACTAGGGGGTACTGGTCAATGAAAAGCTGGACATCAGGTGGCAATGTGCAGTTGCAGCCCAGAAGGCCAACTTGTACCATGGGCTCCATCAAGAGAAGTGTGGCCAGCAGGTCAAGGGAGGTGATTCTGCCCCTTAAATCTGCTCTGGTAAGACCCCACCTGGAGTACTGTGTCCAGCTCTGGAGCCCTCAGCGTAGGAAAGACATGGACCTGTTAGAGCAGGTCCAGAGGAGGGTCACAAAAATGATCAAGGGGATGGAACACCTCTCCTGTGAGAACAGGATGAGAGTGTTGAAATTCAGCTTAGAGAATAAAAGGCTCCAGGGAGACCTTATTCTGGCCTTCCAGTGCTTAAAGGGGACTTAAAAGAAAGATGGGGACAGAGCTTCTAGTAGGGCCTGTTGTGATAGGACAACGGGTGATGTTTTTAAACTAAGAGTGTAGATTCAGACTAGATATAAGGAAGAAATGGTTTACAATGAGGGTGATGAAACACTGGAACAGGTTGCCCAGAGAGGTGGTGGATGAGCCATCCCTGGAAACATTCAAGGCCAGGTTGAACAGGGCTCTGAGCAACCTGATCTAGTTGAAGATGTCCCTGCTCATGGCAAGGGGGATTGGACTAGATGACCTTTAAAGGTCCCTTCCAACCCAAACCATTCTATGATTCTATATGCTGTTTCATAGAGTACTGCTTCAGGGACTTATGTGCATATGTTAACAGGCTGGAGCCAACAAAGCTAATTGCAGTAGTATTTAACATACCAGTACTTTACCATACAGTGACAGCAGGATGTTTGCTTTGGGTTGTTGGTTGTGTGATGTTTTGAGTGTCCCAGGATCTGTCTTAGGGTTAGACTGGAAATCACAAGAGGCATTGGCCTTTGAGTATCACATAATAGTTCATGTAACTTGGTTGTCATAAATGGTGTAAATTGAGGGGGCTGAACTCTCATTCTCTACAGAGAATTATTCCACTGAAGAGGGTTGTGAATTGGAACATGTGAAGTATTTTCTTAACTTATGGGTTTTTTTATCTAAGGTATTATCTGCATTTTTGCATTGAATTTTTAGAACTTAGAGTTATGATTTTCTTCTCACCAATCAGGGCACAATAACCATTTGCTAGTTTTAGATATTCTTTGTTGATGCATCAAAGCCAAAATGTATATCATGAACACTTTCCTAATTTTTTTCTCCAAAAATTCCTCAAACCTTGGACTTCTCTTGAACACTTGAATTAGATTCTAAAGAGAATGCTTCTGGTTTTTAGTGCTTCTGAAAGCTTTTTATTATTGCTCAACAGATGCCACAGTTGGAGAAGAAGCTGGAAGAAGAAGTGGAATGTAATGCCAGAATCATTGCCTGTCGTTTTCCTTTCCCTTGTTGGATCCCAGATTGTACTGTTGGAGAGGGAATAGACACTGTGTGGGCCTATGATTTGAAACATTCTAGAGGATGTGAAACAAAAAGCTTGGAAATGACACCAGAGACAGAATCCTAAACATTTCATTTGTTTTTGTACTGAAATTTTTGGCTTTGACTTCACCTGTTAAAGAAAAATGTGACTAGAGCTGCAGGATATGGAGATACGTATTCACTAAAAAACCTGAAGTACACTGGTTATCTGAAAGCACACAAAGTTGAGTGAAATATGTAGTTAAATGGCTTAATGTAGTTAGTAAAAATTGTGAGAAGGTTTTATAGAAACAGAAAACTTTAATATGGAAAATGTGATAAAACGCAGTTCACTACTGTTAAAGGGAATATATATTTAAGTTAAAATGCTCAAATTGGCGAACTTAATATGTGCATTCTTTCTGAGTCTACCTAGAATTTGTTATTGGTGTTGGAAGTGGAGTGCAAGTGGCTTCTCAGATGAGCTGTGGTTCCCAAATGTCTTCGTTATGTATGCCAAGTAGGCATAATGCTGCATATGTCAAACTGATGCAGATTGAGTATGGTGATGATACCAGTGTTTTGCACCTCAGCTTTGAATGTGTACTTTTTAAAGTGGAATATGACACAACAAGCAAATGTAACAAGTTGCTTATTCATTAACACAAGTGCAGTCCTTGATTATATTAATGTATTTTTATGTAACTTGTTATTTGAAGACAAAACTGCAGAAATGTGCTCTTACTGAACATTTATTGGTATAAGCCTTTGTAAATTACCATGATTTTTCCGAACCTCTCTGATTTAGGAAGGGTTTCAGAAGTCACCTGCTTGGCAGTGAAGTGTCATCACTTCTGTGTGCTCAAACCTTGCATGAGGTATGGGTGAGAATTGCTTACTTGAATGTGTCATGAAGACTGTCTCAGATTCCAGAGCTAGTTGGTCTGGCTAGCTTGGTTACATCTGATAAGACCTCATTTAATTTACAGTGAGATGGGAAGGGAGGTTTTCAATCAGTCTTCTTTTCCCTTCTACTTTTCTTGTTACCTGATGAGAACTCAGAAACTCATGGCATTGCTGCATGGCTTTTTCTTGGAAGTGAAACAAGTTCTCCATGTCTTTTTGCTGATGCTGGTTTGCAGTGGGGTACTGTTACTTTCATGACATTTTCCTTGTCTCACATGGCTACATTTTCTATTTTGTAACAGTCTGTTTTCTTGATCTTTGTTTTGGTTCCCGGGTACACTTTTACTGTTTTCACCCATTAACAATTAGTCAAAGTTCATAGTTAGCTTCCTCTGGCCCCAGTTAAAATATAGACTGTTTGCTGAGCAGTAACTACTCAACTTTGTCAGACCTTTTCATATATGGTACCCATAGAACAAAGTTAAAATAGGCTAGGGTCACCTGACTTCTAGTTAGACATTACCACAACTAAATTGGCTCAGGCCAGGAGAGGTGCTGAGACCCTGCAATTTCAGGTAAATACACAGCCTGTGACATTTTATTAGATGTTGGGAAAGTGCATTTTCTGGACTATGGTATCTGACTTGAAGAGAAGTTAAATGTTATTTGGGATGTGTAGTCTACATGTAGTTTACACCTGTACCCAGGCTTTTTATTTTTGGTGGGAGGGGAGGAGGAAGGAGAACTGAAAATACAAATCTACACTGAGGATCTGAAATGAAGCAGTAGAATGGTTTTGTCCTGATAATATGAGTACAAAGCAGAAGACAGGGGCAAATTAAAGGGGCACTTTGGAGAGATGATTTCAACCTCACGTGGCAAGGTGCAGCTTGTAAATGTAGAGACTCTGTATTGAAGAACATTGATTTCTGGTAAGCAGTCTTTTACAGCCTTTCACTGAGTGTAACATAGTGCATCCTGTAAAACTTCACTAAACTTTCTACCATTACTTAAATGTTATAATTATTACACAGTGACGGGACAGAGCTAAAATGGCTTATCTAAAGTGACTGAATTTAATATCCCGAGGCCATAGAACTGGAACCTCAGACAATGGAAATCTGAAATTATTTCTAGCAGAAAATGACCATACAAAGGGAAAACTAGCTGATTAAGCCAAGTCCTTCTCTGAATGGTTATAAAGGAGGAGAGGAGGTAAAAGATTTTGATCAAGTGAATTGGGACTTAGCTGCAGTACAGTGCTTTGACCCAAGTTTCTGCTGCCTACTTTCACTAGCTTGCAGGGAATGAAGTGGATATTTACTTTTTCTGCTGCATTTGACTATAGATTTGTCTATTGCATTATTGGTTGCCTGTTAAAAGGTAGAACTGAATTTCTCAGTTCTCTGCCTGTGGTAAAGGATTGGGGCATGTAATTCTTAGTTGCCACCTATTGCCTCAGAAATATTTATTGAGGAGGGTGAGATAAAATTAATGATGTGGCCTGAGCTTTAGGAGCACTAAATGCTGGCCTTAAGGCAAGGAGAGATTTACAAATGCTTTTAAAGTAAAGCAGAAGGCTGTTTCATGTTCTGGCCCTTTACTTTTGGGGGCCTATACTGAGATAGACAGTGATCTGAAGGTTTGGAATTTATTATTACATAAGGAAATGTGCTGTATTTCCTCTTTCTATGGCTGAAGTGTGAAATGGAAAGCAAATTGCTCCCATTTACTCAGGGGGACTTGGAAGGCATTTTCTTGTTATGTTGCCCTCAATTTTTTTAGCACTTGCCATTTTCATTTGATAGTTTACAAGATTAATTACTTAAATGCGACTTTAGTTATCACTGTATGGATTATTATGCTGATACACTTGGATTTGCTAGGGTAATGTATTATGATTTCATTGATATGCTACTTCAGAGTACAAATTTCTTACCTCTGAAAACCAGGAAGGCCTTAGAGAATTGGCTTATCAAATTATAGTGTAGGTCTGAAGCCAAAAGAAGAAAACCTTCAAGCTACACATGCTGTTCAATACCAAAGTAATTCAGATACACAGGAAAACCTATAGTTTATCTTTATGTCTTCTAGTAGAATCACTTGCCTTTTGGGAGTTACTTGTTTTATTCCTTCATTGCCCTGCCAGATCTTAGCAAAAAAGTTGCTACGTTGCTGAATGAGTAATGCTTTCCTGAGATATTGTAGAATTTGATCTGTTTGAAAATAATACAGGTCAGAGTTCTCCAGGAGTCAGACTTTCGAATGTTTTCTTCTTTCTTTTTTGTGTTGAGACATATTATGTCCCCACAGGCTTTATGATACAAGATCAGTTGTACCAATGCAGTATCTAAGTGCTACAATTCTAATTCTGTAGTTTTCTGTTTTGCATAAATTGACTTTCTAGGGAGAAGGAGAGGGGTATGGCTACAAGAGAGACATCTGATAAGCAGGTTGCTCAGTAAACTACACGGTCACTAAAGCTACACAGCAATGTCAACCAAACTTGTCCAGATTTGTTTGCGAAATGTGCACATATTTTGTGAGCTTTAGGCATTTCTGTATTACTGTGTGTATTGAAGTTCTTGTTTTATCCTCTGGTCTGATTATATGCTGCCACTTAATCTAATATTGCTCCAAGGAAGTTAATCCCTTGTCTCTGAGCTGCTGTTTATTTCTGACTCATGAGTTGTAGCCAGGTAAGAAGGTACAGAATCAAGTCTAAAATAAAGTACCACATTTCACAAGCCAGTTGAATGAGTATGGTCTGTGGGGAAAAAATGTTCCAAAGCCCAGGTTTTGGGAAAGACTTTCACCTTTAATAAAGGACACAGCTCAGGAGGCGATAGAGATCTGAATTCTGCATAAATTTTTTAAGTATGACTTGAGCTTTGCTTTTCTCATGTGTCCTTTAAAAAATTTTACCATCGTTCTAAGACCGTTCTAAGATCTGCAGGGGAAGTAAGCAGAAGTAGAGTTTTGTTTATCTTTTATGTTTTGAGCTATGGGAGGAAAGGGGGAAGGGAATCTTACAGCCCGAGTATGGCAGTTTGAACTATTTAAAAGCAGTTGTGACAGACTTGCACATAAGCTGTGCGTATTTCTCATTGGATAGGAACATCCATATGAAGAATGGGCTGTGATGGGCATTCACTCAGAAATGGGTTTGTGTCTGATACACTTGAATGAACACTAATTATTGATAGATCACTTCATGCTTCTGTAGTTCCACTTTTCACGATGGTTTGCAAATACTGAAGTATTTATTCAAGAAAGGACATGAATCCTTCAAATTCATGGTTGAAGAGGGCAGTCTAATGTCACATTTAATGCCAGTAAATTCTGCTTTGAGCAAGTTATTTTTCTTTTACATTTACCATGTCTTCTGTTCTCTACTTTTACAATGTAGCTCCAACTTGTTTTTCAGAAGTAACATATGTTTCTTTTAGAAGACTTACTGAGTTCTTGATAAGACAGTGTGGCATCTATTTTTAACTTAAAAATCACCCTTGAGTGAGATAGCTGCAGAATTAATGTTTTCAGTATTTGTATGACAATCTTTCTATTCATCCTTGTATGCTTTACAGAGGGAGACTTGTACATGGATAGTTACCATTTTTTTTCCTCAGTTTCTGAATTCTCCCTCTTACTTCAATGTTTGCTTTTATTTTTCATCTTGTCTTTTTACAATTTGACTGTTTGACTTCATAAATTTATCGTATTTTCTCATTTCCTTTAAGTTTTTTTTTTGTTTTTTTTTTTTTTTTTAATAAAATACTTGCCCTTTTTTCAGCAACTTTGCAGAAAGACTAAATATGTCAAGGAATGTTCTTTTTCTCTCTAACATTTTAACATGTATTTAACTAACCTCTGATTTATTTAGCAGTCTGTATGCTGACATAGCATGACTTTTGTTTCCAGTAAATGAAAGAAAAACACATCCACCCATATGGTATTTAGACTGAAAAATAGCCTTGGTCTACAACAATTCTGACTAGTAGTTTTAAGTACATAATTTCACACTTTTATTATATTTCATCACTTGGCAAATGAATACAGGCCTTTTATCCACTTAGTAGTTCTTTGGATTTGGGTTATTTGTTCAGGTGGGACTTTTGCTGATTTCTTCTTCTTAGTATAATGTTGGGGTTTCTATTAGAGGCTTTGGTTGAAATGTCAGATTGATGTTTTTCCTGCGAATTGCCATGTAGACCTTGAAGAATTGCTGTAATATAATCCACTGAACTGCTGGCATTGGTAAAAATTAAGTAAAACCTGCTTACCAGTAAATGTGCAGGGAACTTTTTCAGCTTACTGTATATATTGTGGTTTTTAAAATTAAGTAGGTTTTTGAAGACCCATATAAAGCTTGTGGCATAAAGTTTTGAGGTGAGCAGAGGTCTTTGCAAGGTCAGAAACAGTAAATTAATGGCTTTCAACCTGAGGTTTGTGGGTACCTTCTGAGGAATCCACAAAAAGTAATTTAAAAAGTAGGTTTATATTTGCTACCCATGGTTGTGTCCTTCGATTGGAAAATTTTAATGTGTCTGAGAATCCCTGAACTAAAAATATGGGTTTACGTAAGACATTAGCTAAATGGAAATGAGTTTATCCAAGTGAGGAGGTTATTTTCTTCATTCTGCTGTTACTTGCGGGGACTGTTGAGTCTTGAACCTCTGCAGTATACAAATGTATAAGCCTCTGTGTATCTTTTGGTAAGCATGTAATTTCATATTGCGCTATGTGAGAGCAGCCGCATGGTTTTGTACATTCCCATTGCATTCTAATAATTCTAGCTTTTTAGTTAATTTGTGATTGATCTGGTTTAAGGATCTAATTGCTTTCTTTTAGGAACTGCTTAAACATGAGATGTACATTTTCAAAACACCTGATCAGCTGCCACTGAAGCCTGTCTAAAAAGCCGACAGACCCTGTGAAACTCCTTAATGCTGTAATGTCTGCAGCTGTCCATGCCAGAACTGGTTCACATGAGCAGAAATGTATCTACCTTTTGCATAAGCTTTCCTGATTCTTGATTTCTTGATTGAATATGGAAGTGTGAGGAGAAGACACAAAATGAATGATAAAAACTTGAGGATCAATATAAGTTCTGGGAGAGAAAAATGTGAATATTGTGGGATATAGCCAAAATCTAAGGGGCCTTTTCTCTTACTATCACTGTTAACCCCTAAGGTTTGATGCTGTCCCTTTTTTTTTACCCTCTAGGACTGCATAGCTCTTCTTAAAAATACACTGCTTTTTTTCTTTCCCATTGTTTTTTCAAGCTTTTCAGAGTGTACACAAATCAAAATAATATATATTCACATGTACCATTCTCTACATTGTTTACAGGGACCCTCATCATCTGTGTTCATGTATATTTTATTGCTGCTTACTATTTTTTTAGCACACATAGAAGCCAAATTTATACTCTGACTACCTGTATGCTCAGTGCATTAATCAGATTTGTGGGTTTGATTAATACAGTTAAGTTTTTCAAACACAGACCTCACACTGAAGCAATTTTAAACAGATTCTGAGCAGGAATTGGCTAAGTATTGGTCATGATGTGAAAATACTAATGTTACTTAGTGACAGGGATGGTAGAGTTTCCTGCCATTGAGGTACTTTTAATTTCAGTTGTCAGTCTGATATGTCAAGCAAATCCAGGGAATGAAAGAGTAGTAGCAAAGCAGCACTGTTTTGTGGTATTAAAAAAAAATAAAATTATTGTCTAACAGTATTATCAGAGGCTGCCTTCTGGGTTCATTTAAGTACTGTTATTGTTCTGATAAAGAGTATGTTGGTGGAAGAATATGACTGGCTGAGCTAATACAACTAGTGAGCATCCTGAAGTGTTTATTCTATAGTACTTTCACATATTTTCTTTACCTTTTCTTCTTCACATATGCCCCCCCACTCCTCCCCCAATATAATCTTTAGAGTGACAACATTACAAATTTGAACTGGAAACCACATTTATCACCCTTGGAAATGAAAGATTAGAAAATGGCTTCTAATAGGAAAAAAGTTGCCAGCTTCAGCAACTGGGTCTTATTTACCAGAGCGATTAAGTATAATGTAGGTCAGATCCAGACTGATTTAATGAACAGTTTAAGTTTCTTAGAAGAAGATAGCACTTCTTGTGAGTCTCTTGGACATACAGTCTGAATTAAGTTGTTTGCTTATTCTAATAAAAACGTTGATCAAACAGCACTCGTAGGATTATTTGTCTACTGCACAAAAACTAGGTAAAAAATTAGTGTCTAAGCACTTTCCATGAAGATGGAAATGTGGATGCTGGATCTTTCATAAGGCTTTGTCTATAGCTGTTTTCTTCATGTTTGTCTGCACTTTGTGTGATTGTAAACATCAGCTGATTGCAATGGGGAGTTTTGCCTGCTTGGGTGATACTTACACATGTAAGGACAAAGGACCAATTGGAGGTTGAACCATACTTTAATTCCTTTCAGGAGAACTCATCAAAAGTGATCTTTTTCTCTGGTATTGTTTTGGTTTGAATCTGGTAAAATTTTCATTTCCACAGGTGAAACTAGATCTTGCTTATGATTCATTTATCTTTCTATTCTGTTGTATGCATGAAGAATCTATGTTGGCAATATAAATCTCTTTACAATGTGCAAAATACACATTGGATATCATACTGGCCTTGAGAGCCCTTGTTATTGTGGTGAGACAGTATTCCCTCCTGGTGTTGAATATGCAGTCATTCACTGTTTGAGCTTGCTGAGGGTTGTGAATGATGCAGCTTTCTTGTTAGGTCTAAGCAGTGCTGAACCCAAGCATACTGGAGCTCAAGCTCCACAGCAGATAACCCAATCAAAAGTATTGAGCTTCACTTTGCATTTGTTGTTGTTAGCAACCTCCTCCTCCTCAATCACTATCCCCCACACAAAATAAACAGTCCTGTGTCGTGTCCCACCCCCCGCACCCCTCATCCATCAGAATGTGTTCTTTGGTTTTCAGCTGCTGGTGCAAATGACCATATTGCTTTCCAGCTTTGTCTATGCCATGGGCCTAGTGAGGCCTTCAGAGCTTATGTTTCCGTGTAAGCAGGCTCAATTTTTAGTTTCAACTGTCTCAGTCAAGGTTCTGCCTCAGAAATCCTCATAGTCTCTGAAGGCAACGAAACAAGCAGGCTCTGGGTGCTGAAGACATTCTTAAGCTTTCTGTCTTAGCATGGTGAGACACAGTATCAACATTTTTGTCAAGTTTTTATAAAGACTACTTTAGTGCTGCTGAATTTGATCTCTGCCCCAATTTAGGAAGTCTGCAAAGCAGAGGATAAATTCACTCCATTTTTCCCTCTGACTAACAGTAGTATAACATTGTTCTTCATTTTTACACTGCTGTTTCTTTCTAGTACAGCCTAATCATAAACTTTCCTTCACTGGAAGGAAAGTCCTAACACCAGAGTCCTCAATCTCCATCAAAAACTTAAGAGAAAGGCTCTTTAATTGAGGGGCTTCCCCTTTGGAAAGTCTCAGCAGCACAAAGATCCTGTACCAGTAGAGATGGGAAGGCTTTCTCTCAAATTCCTGTTGCTGATACAGATACTATTTGTCGGGACCATTATTAGGAACAGCTTGCTTTTCCACCAAGACTTGGTATAATTACTTACAGCTTAAGGTTAGTTTAAGGGGCTTGGTACTGGGTCTGGTACAGAAGCTTGGAGTAGCAGGAATCCCAGTCTTGTTGCCTTTTTGGAGAATGTAAAAAAGTCAAGTAGTATAATTTTTTTATATGTCAGTAAATATACCATGATATATTGATACAATGAAAATACAAGGATAAAATTCTGATACTAATACTCTGGTGATAAACTAAGCTGAATGTTAGTGAATGGAGATTTCTAGGTTGCAGAAAGAGATGCAAGTTTGTTCTCTGTTCAGTAAGCATGTATTTTCCCTATTAACTCTGAGGGGAAAAGAAAAAAAAAAAAAAGTAGATGTAGAAGATGGCAGTTGGAATGCCTAGTTATTAGTTTTCATTCAGCCCTGCGTAAAATGCAGTGTTTATACAGCATTATTCATTTTCAAACTGCCACTGAATGGTAAACCTACTAACATTTTTGTAGGGTTGGCTGGTATTATCTTCACCCTTTACAGCTGCAAAAATTGTAGCAAAGAGCTAATTTGTTCAAGACCACGAAAGCAATCCTTGTCAATGCTGTGATTAAAATTATTAAACCTGCAACTGCATATCTGTGACTACAGCTGGAAGAATGTGTTTCTTAAATGGCTACTCCTGAAGGTGGCAGTACCTGTGCACTTTCATAATGGATGGAGCCAGAGATATAAAGGTCGGATGCTCTCATAAGCCATTAGTGCTGCCTTACTGCTTACAGCTGTAAGACATAGCACCTACAGTGGTTCTGTCTGTCCAGGTCATTTTGTTGTCTTCAGTCTTACCTTTTCATTAGCTGTTACTACATTTGATGTCTCATGGTTATGCTTGTAGATGCATTTGGATCCTTCTGTCACTGTTTATATGTCCTATTTCATAGCAGAACTTATTTCTATTGAAGTATATGACTTTGTGTCATGTACTACGTCTTGGTCTATTTTTGTGTGAGATTCAGTCTGGTTCTTTTCTGCTTTGATGGTTTCCATTTTTTATGACAGAAAAGTTCAGATCTTTAAACAACTTAAATCTCTTGTTAATGGGACTATTAAATACAAGTTGGCTGCAATCCATTGTAGGCATTTTGACTTTTGTATCATATTGTTTTACTTGCCTAACAATTCTCTTTTTTTAACCTTTGTACAAGGTCTGTGTCTTAATTCTTTGAGAACATGTCACTAAATGTAAATTAAACTTGATTTTTAGGAAGTTGTCAGATAACATAGGCCATGACAGATCAGTTAGTAAGCTTACATGTTATAATTTCTCACTTTTATTTCTATATTTATTCATGGGTACAAATTAGATGGACTGAGAAAAGATCTGTTTTCCTTAGGCCCTAATAACTTCATCTTTCATCAAAATGACGTGAAATTGAATAAAAAAGTTTTCCGTTGGTGTGACTTCTCAACAGCCCTTGCTATTACAACTTTCTGTGTCCTGACAAGCCCAAACTCATTTTACCCTGACATAACCATCAGTTTTAAGTACAGATACTGTCTTGATTTTCTGGTTCAGAAGCTGTTTGATAGTGATCAGCTTAACCATCTCAAAACCAGCACTGATGCATGTTATATTCATCTGCTTGGAAAACAGGCTGCTTGAAAGCACATGTGGAATCTTACTAGATTAGTTGCTTTGACTAATTTTTCTAAAATAAGAGGCAACAACTTGACATCATCTCTAAATATGAACAAACCCAAGACAAAATACTATCTCTACCATATGCAGGAAAATGCATATTGAACAATGTATGAACAAATACACTATGGCAATCAAATCACTGATCAGCTAAGTAAATATAGTCAAAGTTTGTTAGTCCAGTAATGATGCAGTAAACAGCATTGCTGGTTTCTGCCTCTTATCACTGAATCATGAAAAGCAATCACAAATTCAGCCCAGTCTTGCTAAATAAAAAAGCAGTTCAGAATGAGTATACAGAAGAGGCTGCTTGAGACAGTTTTCTACACAGCAGCATGAATTATTTTTTTTTTTGTTTTTTTTTTTTGTTTGTTTTTCCTGCTAGTTGAAAGGTTAGTGACAGCCCTTCCCCAGCACCCAGACTGAAAGACTCCTCTGCATCACCTGATGCAGACTGCTGCTTTGCTTCAAAATGCAAATACATGTAATTCATACCACTAGAATTACATAAAATGGAAAAGGTGCTAGGGAGAACAGTAGTTGCTACCAATTAGGTAATGTTAGCCAGCCATTGTGACACTTGGATGTTCGTCCTGCACTACCTCTGTCATGCCACAGTGATGATACGGCAAGAACTATAAGATAGGTAAAAATCAATACACTTTTTCAGCTAGGGCCAAGAAGGGAATGAACAGTGTGAAAAGGCCAACTGTATTGGAAAAGATTAAATCTGCTTCTGAGGAGCAAGAAATCCATATGCTACCTGATATTAAAATGTTTATTGACAGGTGATAGAGAGAAAATGTGTATCTCTTGATTTAAATTGTTTTCCTTATTACAGAGTTGTTACACAGTCTATTACATCTACGTGCATTAGGGAGCATCTGTTCCATAGACTGCTTTAATAATGGATTATGCTGATAAAAATGCCAGGAGGCCTGCATAGATGAACAAGGAGCTCCTAGACAAGCTCAAACACAAAAAGGAAGCCTATAGAGAATGGAAGCAGGGACAGGTAGCCTGGGACGAATATAAAGAAACTGTGTGAGCAGCCAGGGATCAGGTTAGGAAGGCCAAAGTTCTGACAGAATTAAATCTGGCCAGGGACGTCAACAGCAAGAGAGCTTCTACAGGTATGTTGGTGATAAAAGGAAGACTAGGGAAAATGTGGGCTCTCTCCAGAAGGAAGTGGGAGACCTGGTTACCTGGGATGTAGAGAAGGCTGAGGTACTAAATGACTTTTTTTTTTTCCTCAGTCTGCACTGGCAAGTGCTCCAGTCACACTGACCAAGACACAGAAGGCAAAGGCAGGGACTGAGAGGGAGAACCACCACCCACTGTAGGAGAAGATCATGTTTGAGACCATCTGAGGAACCTGAAGGTTCTTCCATGGGACCTGACAAGATGCATCCATGGGTCCCGAGGGAACTGGTGGATGAAATGGCTAAGCCAATACCCATCGTATTTGAGAAGTCATGGCAGTCCAGTGAAGTTCCCACTGACTGGAAAAGGGAAAACATAACTCCCAATGTTAAGAAGGAAAATAAAGAGGACCTGGGGAACTACAGGCCAGTCAGTCTCATCTCTGCCTGGAAAGATCATGTAGCGGATCCTCCTGGAAACTGTTATAGGACACATGGAAAATAAGGAGGTAATTGGTGATGGCCAACATGGCTTCACTAAGGGCAAAACATGCCTGACAAATTTGGTGGACTTCTGTAATGGGCTTACAGTGCTGGTGGATAAGGGAAAAGCAACTGATGTCATCTACCTGGAGTTGTGCGAAGTGTTTGACACTGTCGTGCACGACATCCTTGTCTCTAGATTGGAGAGACATGGATTTGATGGATGGACCACTCTATGGATAAGGAATTGGCTGAATGGCAGCACTCAAAGAGTTGTGTCAACGGCTCGATGTCCAAATGGAGAACAGTGACGAGTGGTGTTCCTCAGGGATCAGTGTTGGAACCAGTGCTGTTTGACATCTTTGTGGTGACATGGACAGTGGGATTGAGTGCACCCTCAGCAAGTTCACCAATGACACCAAGCTGTGTGGTGCCGTCAACACACTGGGGGGAAGGGATGTGCCATTCAGAGGGAACTTGATGGGTTGAACAGATGAGCCCATGAAGTTCAACAAGGCCAAGTGCAAGGTCCTGCACATGGATAGAAGACTGACTATGAGCCAGCAGTGTGTGCATGCATCCAGAAAACCAACTGTATCTTGGGCTGCATCAAGAGAAGTGTGGCCAGCAGGTCGAGGGAAGGGATTCGTGAGACCCCGCCTGCAGTACTGTGTCCAGCTCGGGGGCCCCCAACACAAAAAGAACATGGACCCGCTCAAGCAGGTCTAGAGGAGTGCCACAAAAATGATCAGATGGATGGAGCACCTCTTCTGTGAGTACAGGCTGAGAGAGTTGGGGTTGTTCAGCCTGGCGAAGGGAAGGCTCTGGGGAGACCTTATAGCGGCCTTCCAGTACTTAAAGGGGGGCTACAGGAAGAATGGGGAGGGACTCTTTATCAGGGAGTGTAGTGATAGCCTGAGGGGTAGCAGTTTTAAACTGCAGAGGGTAGATTTAGATTAGATCTAAGGAAGAGATTCTTCCTGTGAAGGTGGTGAGACACTGGAACAGGTTGCCCAGAGAAGCTGTGGCTGTCCCCTACCTGGAAGTGTTCAAGGTCAGGTTGGACGGGGCTTTGAGCAACCTGATCCAGTGGAAGGTGTCCCTGCCATGGCAGGGGGGTTGGAACTAGAGGATCTTTAAGGTCCCTTCCAACCCAAACCAATCTGTGATTCTATAAAAAACTATTTGAAAAAAAAATAATCTGTCATGCAGTTTGTATTAAAAAGAAAAACTAGGTCTGTTCATTAATGGTGAAAAGGATGTTGGAAATTGGTAAGAACTCTGCCTATCTGTAGTGTAATTCTGCCATAAAGAAAGCTTTTTTTTTTTTTTTTCCCCCTTGAACTTTTGTTCAATGGAAGTTTAATTTTCAAGGATCAAATATCTGTACTGCACATGCCAATTTTAAAAATGTTTAGATGGATAATCTGCTGGAATAGATTACAATCCTTCTCTTTTATTGTTTACCGCATAGAACACTGAATTTATACCATATGCTAGTCAGTCTCAATAAAAATGTATTTTTTCTATATTGTAGGCTAAGCATGTTATTGGTACATACCAATAGGCACCAAAGATTTCAGAATTAGATTTCAGCTTTTGTATTTCATAACACTGAAGGCACTAAGATTTCAGAAACTGTGGCATTAATGCACCTGTTCTTTAAGAATAACTTGATACCATCTCATTTTAAAATAAATGTTTCTAAATCTTGGCATGTTCCATGAATGATTTATGAGTGATTGATATGTTATAGGGGAGCTGTAAATTGCAGGACCGGCAAAGACTCTAAGCCTTGTTCTGCTTCTTTCAAATTATTCTTTCTGCTTTC